GGGAGAAGATGGTCACCAGTCAGAATTCTCTCCCCAGCCATTAGAATGGACATTTCCAGTAGAATGGTCAGTGGCTGCCTATGAAATGCTGACTACATTTTAATGACTGATGTTTTACCAGACATAAAACCCAGAGGTGACGGGTTCTGGAATCAGTCAACACCTCGAGGACGTCAGGGGGACCTGAGCTCCTCTCACCTTTCGGCATCCTCAGCACGACAGCTATTGTCCTTCACTGGACCATGCTGGGGCTCCAAGGTGGCGTCCTCAGCTCTAAGCCTCAGATCCTTCAGCCGTTGTGTGCAAAAACAGGAAGGAAGAAAGAAAAGGAGGCTTTCCCTTGAGCATTTGCCCAGGGGTTTCTCTCCCATGGTCAGGGAAAAAATATTTCCCAGAAACCCCCTTGCTGGGATCCCATGACTGGGTCCCATGGCCACCCTTGGCTGCAAAGGAGTCTGGGAAAGCAAAGATCTGGACATGGGGATTGGTTAGACCCTGGCGGGTGGGTACAGGCCCGTTCTAAGCTCTGTGAAACTCCAGGAGAGTACAAAATGACTAATTAAATATATCCTAACCCCCTCCCTGAAAAATATACCTCAGAACCACCTGGAAGACTAGGCTTAAATTAAGACTCCTTCGATGATTGGCGGTACGGTGGCAGGGTGTGGCCCCCCTTCTTTCTCTCCCCATCCTCAGCTCCACGTGGGGTCTCACACACAGACATGCGGATGCTCCAGCCTCCAAACACTTGCCTCTTGGCCACTCCAGGACCCCTGGAGGAGAGTGAGTTAGGCCACAGGTGGGCTTGGGGATGACTGCACAGGAATTTGGGGGTACCAGGTACCCAGAGCTCGGCTTTGCCATAACGAATGAATCGTTTTAAGCAAAGGCTGAAACACTTCCTCCGGCCATTTGAGAAGAGGTTCCAATCATGAATCAGGGCCACAAGGTGAGTTGAGAAAGTGGCTATGGGGGCGAGACAAGTAGGCTCCCACAGCCTTCTGTCCCAGACACCCGGTTAGCCAGGAAGTGACAGCCCAACTGGACAGCCCCTTTTCCTGTCTCTTCATTCTTCTAGGGCCTAGGTTTCAATAGCGACTCTGTTCTCATCCTTTCTGCAAGAGCGCTCTAGAACTCAGCCCCATCTCTCTGTCTCTGTCTTCCCCCTCCTGTCTTGACGTCCTATGATCTCAGTGCTCCAACATGCATGCTCTCCTGAATTCCCCCAGCAGCCCTGTGACATGCTCACTGGAACCTGCTTCACGGTGAAGAACGTGAGGCCCAGATGGGGCATCTGGTGAGTGGTGAGGCTGAACTTCAAGCCCAGCGGGGAGGAGGGAGACGCATGTGATGGAGCTGGAGTTTGTCTCCCGTGCCCTGGACTCCTCCCCATCCTTAGGACCTTGCCCGAGGACCTGAGCAGAGACGTATGCCTCCATCTGTGGACCTGCCCTGAAAGTCAGCTCTCCCCCACCATCAAGGCTGGGATCCTGCTGGTTGTCACCATGAACAGCCCCAAGAAACCATGCCCCCCAGGGCCAAGGATCGATGATGAAGGCAGTTCATTCGTCAGGACTTGGATTCTCATCGGCAGTATCTTGAATCCTCACGGAGGCCCCAGGAGGTGTCTGCTACCCTCTCCACTTTATAGACCAGGGAAAAAGGCTCTGAGGAAGTTCCTCAACTTCCTTCTCTCCCTGGGCCGGAGCTCACCTGGACTCTGGGCCACTTCTTTGGTTTCTTCCTCTCCTATCCTCTTGCAGCACTGCCCACTTCCTAGGCGGATACTGGCCTCTGGTGCCCTCTGTCCTCCAGGGGCCAGAAGATGGTTGGAACCAGCTGGGCTTTGAAGGGGGTACCCTGGTTGGGGACTTACCATGTGCAGGAAGTCTGGCAGGAGATTGGCTATTCTAGGGCCCTTCTGATCCTTGCAAGGTGAGGTCCAGGGCAGTAAAGTAGCTTGCTTAGGGCAAACATGGGGCAGGTGGGGTGTCAGGCCTGGGACTTCAATGTTCCTGCCAGCTGGCTCCCTGCCAGGGAGGTGGGTGCCTGCTGTAAATGTGTACAGGAGGGCTGTCCTCCTTTTATCAGTCTCCTTCCTTTTCGTTAGCACAGACAACAGATTCTGGAATTCTCTAGCCTCTCTGAGCGTCTGGCACCAGGAAATTGGAGGTTCCTGAGTTCTCCATGGAATCAGTCTCTCCCAAGCTCTCAAGCGGGGTCCGGGATCTTAGTTGTTCTGGAGCTTCCTACAAAGGAGACCGTGCAACGAGGCAGAAAGAGCTCTGGTACTGACTGTGTAACCTTAGGGACGGGAATTGCCCTCTCCGATCCTCAGAGTGCGATAATGATGACCCCTATTCATAAGCTCTGGTGGAGGTTTTGTTGCTGCGCCCCTCCCCTGACTCAGGCAATGGCAAGGCCCTACTGAGGTGGATGGCGCAAGGCGTCCATCCTCTGGAGGAGCACAGTATGTTTCTGGGAATGGGCTGGTTTGTTTCTGTATTCCTTTAATAAGTATAGTTGCGGCTTCTCATAGGACCATTAAGTATGCAGGAAAAATCATGACTTTCCCAATTAATGCAACTACTTCTAAAGAATAAATCTGTTTGCTCTAAATGCAATGATTCAGCTGTGGAACGTAAACTGTTAATGTTTAATGAAAAACTCCCTGTATTCCTGTCAAGGAAGTTTTTGAGAAATTAAATTAAAATCTAGAGAAGAAGAATTAATGTTAAGAAGACAGATTAGTGCTTAGTACTGGGCAACTTGTTCTTGTTCCTGTGCATAATGGTTTGTGCTCTTACTCTTGTTTGATTAAAATTAATAGCCTCTTTTTTCAAGTTAACCATTTGCCGTAACCATGGCACCGGTTCTAGACAGTAAGTCAAGAAAGAATAGTCAAGGTATAGGCCAATAGTCTGGGAAATTTCTAACTATTATTAAAAGTTAACTAAGCAGAAACAGCTCAAAGCAAAACGTGAACTGAAAGGAAAAATGCTTGCTTATGCATAAGCCAAAATACATTCTTCTATTCTAATTGTAGCTACGTAATACTTTGTTTCTTTGAATAATGATTCCTGTTTTGTAACCACAAAGTACCTGTGAGCCTGCCAAAATGAAAAGTATATATGATTAATTTCACAAGTAAAGATTGGGATTCAGCACCTTCACTTTGGTGTCTGTGTTGTTTCTTCACCCCCCCCCCTTTCGCCGAATCTCACCATCCGTTCATCTCCTGAGACCCCCTGTTGGAGCTGGACTCCGACATTTTGTCTTGGTGAAGGACTCAAGAACTGGAGAGAACAGGAGTGGAGGATGAGTGGGGAGAGATGTTCTTTCCCTGTCCAACTGGCTGCCATCCCAAACTGCACATGCCCAAGGCCAGCTTGGGAGGTGGTCTGGTCATCTACTTATCCTTTGGAGACAGGGTGTTCTCAGCCCACGTGGCCCAGCTTACAAGCGTGGGTCCACCTGGGCCCACACACTCTTCCTTGGTACCTGAAGTTGCCTAGCAAGTACCTTATAAGAAAACATTTAACATTTTGAAGAACTAAAGAATAATGGATTGCATACACACATCTAGACTTCTCTTTGCATGTGTCCGCAGGGAATATGACCCATGTCTGTTGTTCCGGGGCCCAGTGGGGTTCTCTGCTCTTGAGATTTCCAGGACTTTTAGTAATAATTCAGACCAACTAGCTCAGTTAGGGGAAAAGGAAGCTCGGAGAATAAAAGCCCTTGCTCAGCAGCACATGAGCACAGAGCCAGGCTCAGCCCCGCCCCCCCACTCCTGACACCATGAACTGTGCTCAGCTGGGGACTCTCATCCTTCCAGGAGGAAAGAGACAGGAAAAGATGGTGCACGGTGCCTGGAGAGCCCCTCTGAGTTTCCAAGTCTGTTCCCAATTTATGTGGCCTTTGGAAGAAAATAATGTGTCTCCTCCGCTGTCTGTTCCCCTGAACTCCCACGTCCAGCCCCAGCTGAGCCCCGATGGACCCCCACGGGAGGTCCTTCCCCCCAGCAGATGCCTTCTCTCTGTGGAGCAGCAAAAGTGGTCACAAAGAAGACACTGTGACTCTCAGGGCGAGGCTGGGTTATTGGTGGGGACCGTTGTGTTTATGAGGCCTCTTATCTTTATGACAGAGCTCAAACAGGGACACGAGATGCATTAACAAATACAACACCGTCCATAAAGACTGCGTTCTGCAGTGAGGGACTGCGCATCCGAAGGGCAGCTGCACCTGCTGTGCAGGTGCACAGGGACAATCCTGTAGCCCCAAGGTTCTCCCTTAAGTCGGGGGCTGATGAGTCAGAGCAGAGAGTCCCTGTGGCGATGCTGAGAGCAGTGCCCAGTCCCCTGCCTCTCCTGCCTCCCCAGATCTTGCTTGCTAAACACGGACCCCTGCAGCCTCAAAAGCAGCATCCTTCCCTGCAGCATCCCTCCCTGGGGCCGACTCAGTGGGAGATCCCAACAACAGAGCCTTCCGTGAGTGGGGATGGGCGCAATGACATTGGAGGAAGATAGAAGGGTCTTGTGGAAGAGTCAGGAAAGTGCGCAGACTGCCCCCCAAACAAAGCACCAGACAAACCAAGAAAATAAAACCAGCCACATCAACTGCAAAAAAAAAAAAAAAAAAAAAAAAAAGTCGTGGTTCTGTTTGTTCCGCACTGAGGTCAACACTGCAGCACTTTCATCAAGTGACACAGGAAACCAGGCGCCATGGAGTAAGAGCAACGGGAAGCTCCGCTTTGTGGCATCCAAGCAGTTGGTGCCTCCTCCCCACCCGCCAACAGTTTAGCCACGCTACACCAAGGGCAGGGGTGAGCCCACTGTCCCAGTACAGAGTTCTTGACCCGAGTCGGCCATCCTAGCTTTGACATGCAAGTCCGGCTGGCAGTCATCTCCCAGGGTTCATAGCCTCTTACCCTGCTGGCAGTGAACGTCAGGGGGCCCAAGAGGCAGAGGGGCTGCCAGGGCTGCCAGGGCCCGGGCCTCTCAGGCGATGGAAGCAATCTGGCTATGTTTCCGCTCTCTGCAGAGGAGAGTCCTGGGGCAGGGCCAGTGGCTGCCCTGGCTGTGGGGGTAACAGCAGAACAGGGTGGACATCAGCAAGGCCAGGGCCATAATGATGGCCAGCACCCACCGGATGACGCCTGGGTAGATGAAGGGCAGGATGAGGATGATGAGCAGGACCAGCAGGAGCAGGTGCACTGCCAGGCGTCGGGCCGCCACGCGATTGGCACTGGCCGCGTCTTGCTCGTCCTCTCCTGCCAAGCTGGGGTGATGCCCTGCCTCTGAAGTTGTGGCACCCGCCAGCCCCTGGGGACAGAGCCGCACTTCCAGGCATGGCTGGGCCAACCGCCCCACCACCGTCTCCTGGTCACGCAGGCTGCAGATGAGACCTCCAGGGACAGTGGTGGGCTTTCGACACAGCGGGCAGGTGACCACCCAGCTGTCGTCCTGCACGCACAGCAGGAGCTTCAGGCAGACGGCACAGAAGGTGTGCTGGCAGCTCAGCACCTTGGGGCACCGGGCGCAGCTGTAGGGCTCCCGACACACCAGGCACTCCAGGTCGCCTTCTGTGGAGCCACGGTGACATCCAGTGGACCCCGAAGTCACGGTGGCGGTGGCAGTAGCTCCTGCGGAGATGGGTGGCGGCTGTTGCTGGGCCTCCATGCAGGACATCGTGGGCACAGAGCCGGTGGCAAATGCCTGCTGGGCACCTGGGCATGGACGGGAAGTGTCAGCCAGCGCCTCCCCGACTTGGGTGGATCCTGACCCTGTGCCGGATGCCTCCAGCCTCCCCGGCCTGTGACAGCAGCTGTGTCCCTTTTCTCCCAGGACTGCCCGGCTTGTTTCCGGCTGTTCAGTGTCCCCTCTGTTATTATTATTTCTTTACTCGAAGGGTTAATCAGTAACTCGTGGGCCTGGAGACTTTGAATTGCCTGATAGGAAGGCCAAAAGGGGCAGGACCTAATGAATCAGGACTTTCCTGTTGGGGCCAGGTGGCTGGTGAGTGCCTACATGACCGTGTGGCTGGTAAGCTTTGGGATGCATCAGCAACCCCCTTCAATCCCTCTCTCAACCCTTTAAAATACAGATGCCTAAGCCTCAGACCCAGAGATGAAGATTTGGCAGGTCGGGATGGGCACCTAAAAGTCCACACTGTGAGCCAATGTCTGATGTGGGTGGCTGGGGAACCCCACTTTGAGAAATGCTGCGGTGAATCGCTGGGGACAAAGCCGCACTTCCAGGCCTGGATGGGCCAACCGCCCCACCCCCGTCTCCTGGTCACGCAGGCTGCAGATGAGACCTCCAGGGACTGGGCTGCCATGGACCTTTTGGGTGTCAGGATCAGTGGGAAGAAGTTTATGCTCTGAGCCCATTTGCAATCAGTTGGCCTTGTTAAAAGAAAGAAAGAAAGAAGTGGTAAGAAAAGAAAACCAAACCAGGCCCCGCCCCCACGTGCTCACACTCAGTTCCCTTTGGGCCCTTAGAGTCACAACAACTGTTATCAACGGTTACTGATTCCTGAGCATCTCATTGGTGCCTTCCAGGCACAAGCACCTAATAATAGGTGTCATTAGTCTTGTGCATGGCCTTCAGGCCTGAACCCAACTGTCACAAGCGCACCTGCCCTTTATTTGAGCCTGCTCCGGGCCAACCCTGTGCCCTGGGTCCTCTGTGCTCTCGGATACTGACCCCATAAGGAAGGCCTGGAAGCAGGGGCAGGGTGTGGTCAGGGTAGGCCTGCTGGACGTCTGCCAAGGGGCCTTCCACAGGGGCAGGACCTACGAGCGTCCAAGGTATGGTCCCCAGTCTCATGGAACTAACCCCATGGATTCACGCAGGTGCAATTGGCCTCGGGGCAGCTGACTCAAGCTGACAGGCCTCACGTGGGCTGGCAGATAGAAGCAGCATGCAATTAGGAAAATGTGACTCCTTTTCCTTGCCCTGGACGCCAGAAGGGTGGGGTGGCACACCCTCTCCCTCATCATGCAGGCTGCACTGAATCCAGAAAGATGTGCCGAGTGGTCCCTTGCTGCTTATGTCACCTAGCACTGGTCACATGGTGTCCACCGCTTCTGATTCAGCCCTTCCCTTCACCCCAAGGGGCACGCACTGCAGCGCTGTGTGCCAGAGCCCAGGTGGGCGAGGGCTCCTCTTGTTCCCCTCCCCGTCCGGGCCCTCTGTCTCTGAAATCCCACCCTCCATCATCCCATCCCGCTTCTCCTCAGCCTTCAGCTCCACAGTCAGTTACTCCTAACATTTTCCCCCACCTGAAGGGGGTCTTGGATGTAGCCCTGGGCATCTGTGCCCAGCATTCATTTTCCACTTTGGTGGCAACAGTGGCCCTTTTCACCTCAGGCAATCACCGCTCCCCCACCACCCTCCAGATGTGACTCCACTAGGGCCGGTGCCCTCCTCCACCTCTGCAGGGGCTGATGTGATGGGATTCAGGCCAGCCAATCAGCAGAGTCCCTCCTGCTGGCTGCAGCCATTGGTTCAGGCACAGACATGTGAGCTAAGCCCAGCCAATGAGATTCAATTCTGGGACTTCTGTTGGAACTTTGGGGGAAGATTGCTTTTCTACGGGGTTTCCAAGCTTGAGGGAGGAACCCAAGAACTTCTGGGAGCGCTGTGTGCACAGACTCAGTCCAAGATTAAGGTCAGGGCCAAAGAAAGATGAGAGAAGAGTCAGACAAAGGCCAATGACATTACAGCCATGTCCAGAGCCAGCTAGCTACCTTTGGATTTTTCAATTATGTGAACTCAAAATCGACTCCAATGTTAGTGTGTGTGTGTGTGTGTGTGTGTGTGTGTGTGTGTGAGAGAGAGAGAGAGAGAGAGAGAGATGGGCTGGGGACTGAACCCAGGGCCTTGCACCTCACAGACAAGTGTCCTGCCCTTAGAGCTAGACTCTTAGCCCCAATTTTTATGTTTAAGTCAGTTCAAATTGGATTTCTGTTCTTTAGGAATAAAAGACTTCTGAGCAACACAATGGTACCTGAAGAAAAGAAAACTTTACTTGCCCTCAGACAGGGTCAAGTATTGACAGGACAATCAGACTTTGTGCACAGCCAAGAGTGACCTGAGACCTACTGTGCCACAAGAGACCATATTATTCCCCTGCTTTAACTTGTATTATATAATGTTCTTTTAGTTTTCTAGACCCTCAGAAGGGTTGGGGGCCACATTGATCGATAATGAAAAATTGGAAATCAGGTGAACAATAGCTAGATGTCAGCTTGGCTAGTATCCCCCCACCCCTCTCTCCTAGCCAGTCAACAGGAAGCCACATCATCAAAAGGTAGATGGAGGGGGTGGAGATCAAACCAAGGGAAGTCATCTGGGGTTAGCATCTGAAGAGCACCTTCCGAAGTTAACCTCCATCAAGTAAACATATTGGTTGCTACGCCCCAAATATCACAGAAATATACAAGGTAGAACTTGAAAGTCCTTTTTACCACTACTGCTGTGAAATGATCTGTTAACAGCATGTTCCTTCATGTTCTCCTCCTACCATCCTGGCTTGGGAACAACTTTGTTTTTAAAGGCGCCTTGCCTAGTTATTATCCATACCAACTTTATTGTTGGAAATCTGGCTCCCGTCACTTTACTAACCACATGATCTTGGGCCAGAATTTCAACTGCAAGGAAGCTCAGTTTTTTAATTTGATAAGAGACAGATAATAACACTTCAAGGAAATTATGGAAGATTATCTAACCTCCCTTAACCCTACTAATACCTGCTCAGTAATTTATGCCCCCGTAGGTTGTAACTGACCTGAGTGTAATCGATCTTTCCTAGGAATGTGATAAGAAGCTTTGGTGATGGCTTAGCCAGGGCTTCTTAAAGATAAGTGATGTGGGCGGGCTCTGGGCATACCTAAAGCAGATCCAGCCCAGGGAAAGGACAAAATGACTCTTGGAGACTGAAGCTGTCGCATGCACCCAGGTTTCACATTCTACTCTGTTACATTTGTGCTTGCTGTGATATTTGAGACCTGAAACATATGCATCCTTCCACATCTCCAAACAGAACATATTTGTTTATTTTAATTGCTGTGCAAATATGAACTCATTTTGTTTTCAGTAAAACTAATGTTTTTCCCCTTGAAAGCAGTTTCTTTTATCCTGAGTCTTCTCACAGCCTGAAGTGGGGTGGAATTTCACACCTAGCTGCAAGTGCAGAAGTTGAGAGGGGTGGATCTCCTCAGAAGTCACAGGCGCAGGTAACCGCAGACCCTCTCCCTGCCCAAGACATTTCTGATCTGAGCTTCAGGTCCTGCGTTGAATTCATTGGCAAAGAGTCAGACAGCAGCAATGTCATGAGATTAAACTGTCTGACCCATTCCCTGCGTCTGTGGTCTGCCCTCGCCCTATGCTCGGTTGGCTGCAGAGAGCTGGTGCTCTGCCAAACGCCCATTGCCTGCCAGCTCCCCGCTCCTCTGTACCGGGAGCTCATGTTGCTAACTGAAAAGCCTCTGTGCTCCTCCAAAGTCAGCCACAGTTGAAAATCCTCCTTAACTTTGTTGAATCCCGATTTTGTCTTTAATTTATTTGCCTGTGGAGCCCCTCCCTGCTTTTAATGGTGGTGCTGGAGGTTGAACCCAGGGCCTTGCACATGCTAAGCATGTGCTCTGTGACTGAGCTACACCCCCAGCCCTTGAGCCTTTTCCTTTACAACACTCAGTGACACTGTGTGTGTCACTGGGGTTCTGAGAGACATGGTTTGGGAAATGCTGTTGAGAGAGCTAAGCCATTAAGAAGTTGCATTTGATTCTTCTTTCTAATGGCTCTCATTGAGTGGTATTCTGGAGTTGTTCTGGTATTCTTCAAAGGATACTAAAAAAAAGAAAAGGGGGTTTTAAAACCTGTTATTACATTTCAATTCAGAGATGTGGCCAGGAACACTATACATGACAGTACTCAGCATCACCTGTGTAGTGATAGTTTTCTGTAGGGTCTGAGGGTAGGAAAAAGCTTTTTGCTTCCTTGGATGGCAGATTATGTCTGTCCGCACTCCTCAGATATTCTGGATTATATAATTGACTATTTTCCATCTTCTCTTTGGCCAACAGGAAGCTCAACCATAGCAACTGTGAAACACCACATTTGGTATGTGCCAATGCATTCCACCCCCCTCCCCTTAGTCCATGCCTCCAATTCTAGTTTGTGGTTTACCTGGAACTGACATCCAATATTTGACTTTTTATTTATATTTTAAATAATTCCAATTGTGGAAAGAGGAAAGGAAGAAGAAAGAAAAGTAGCGGGGGAGTTGGCCCACACAGGGCAGAAGGCAGAGGTGATGGGGAGAGTGTGGGCGTGTCCTGTGGCTTTTTCAAGATTAAATCCTGGGCTTCCGCCTCTTTCCACTCAAGCTGCCCTGGATACGGAAGCTTGCAGACGACATGTGCCCATCTGAGGACATTTCTCCCTCTTCTCTGTCACCACCTTGCAGGGAGCATGGGTCTGGATCTGGACCGCTGGACCATGTGAATATGATCCTCCCCAGCATTGCCTAGGACCCACGCAGCTTTTCTCCAGGGTGATCAGCTTGAGGTCAGGAGGCTGCCAAACCGGCCTCTCTTTGCTCCCCAGATGTCCAGCCCTGGCCTTTACGGAGCCCCTTGGAAGGAAAACATTGGACTAGAAATAATTGAAGTTCCTGAGCACATGGGCTT